TTTAAATACTGAAATTATTCTTACTAATGGTGATACAACAACAGCAATATTAAAAGATGATGGATTAGAAGAAGATGAAGAAGAACTCCTTTCTCATATTGATGAAGATAATTCTGTTAATGATAATGATGGACATCATTATGATTATTCAGTATGTGTAAAATTTGTTAATTTAAAAATTTATTTCGATGATTTGTTTTTTCTTCATACTTTTTTTAAATGCTCGTATCAGTTAGTCAGTCAGTAACAAGGTGTTAGCAAGACATAGATTGAAGTAAAACACATTTCATGTAATATTGTATTGATGAACACTGATTGGCTATTTCTTATCCAGTCAGCGCTAGTCGATACTTGAAGAAGACTATAGAATCTTCTAATGTAAAAACCATAAATATACTCTCTATCCTTGCTGCTACCTTGAAGTGGTGGTTGGGCTTGCTTATCGTGATGAACCAATCGAGCCGTACTGGCTGGAACAATCATTCCTCAAGATCCTACCATGCCAGACAGGTCGGTTGAAGAGCGGTAAGACTAAAAGCAGCAAACCCAAGGTCTGAGGACGAAGTCGTACTGCTGACTGTACAAGGGTCTCCGGAGGTAAGGTTTAAACAAATACGGACCTAACACGAAAATTATTCACAAAAAGGTCATGTGTAACTAACCTCAAGCAGTTGTCCCTTAAGCACTGCGGTCACGCTCTCAGGTCACTAAGATCACCTCTAACCCATTTTCCTTCTGAGGTATCTTCAGAAGAATCCTTCCACGGTATGAGCAACTGGGAAGTGATAACTGTCCTCATTCCTCTAACAGTACTCAAGATTACTGTATTCACAATCGATCTCCCTCTATAAATATACTAACGTTCGACTGTATTCTCATTTAGGTAATTGTCAAGTGAATTGATGTCCAAGAATACTACTAAGCAATAGGGGATAGCTAGATAGTAGTAGTAGTAGTAGTAGTAGTAATAAGAGAAATTATAACACTTTGTCATTTTTTTTTCTCTTTTAAGACTAACATCAAGTTTCCTAGGTAAAATGTACTGTAGAGTTTCAATTGTAACAAGATAAGTTCTTGTTTTGTCATGAGTTATGCATCCTTATAATATTTCTCTGTTTTTTTTTCTCTTTCAATTTATCCAATATAGGGTTTGTCATTGAAGAACAACCATGTAGATGTTATGCAATAGTAGAAGTAATAGTAGTAATAATAATAATTTGATGTATATATTATTATGTGTAAATGTGTGTGTATGCTTATATGAGAGTAGAGAACATGGTTGCTTTTTATCCATTTGTTCCATTTTTTTTTTGTTTTTAAAGCAAAAATAGGATTCTCTTTGTTGTTGTTGTTGTTCTTCTTCTTCTTGTTTTTTTTTGTTGGTTCATTATTTATGTTCTGCCACAATTCACATTAAGTAAATTTTCTTTGTGTGTGTGTGTGTGTGTGTGTAATGATTTTCAATTGTTCAACAATGGATTGTCTTATTCTTTATGTATATTCATATTAATATACTATCAGGATGTGTATGTGTTGTATGGTAAATGTATGTGTTCCTGTTCTTTCTTCTTCCTCTTCTTCTTCTTCTTCTTCTTCATCTTCATTTTATGTACATATTTCTCCTTCTCAATGTATGTCGTTTAATCTTTATTTTTTTACATTTTAAAAAAGAGAATTAGTAAATAAAGAACAAAAAGAAAATAATTCATGTTTTATGTATGAATTACTTATGCTAACATATGAACACATAAGTATTGGTACAAAAGGGTACTGAATACATATGCGCTATACAAATCCATTTGATTGGTTAGTGGGCTGTGATACTGTCCGGATGCTCAGACTGAAACAGGTGGTTTTCTTAGAAGGCTATACCTCGAGCCATCAACTTGAAGGTCTGATCCACAAAATAGTGCAGCAGCGTAAGTAGATGTAGTCTGTTACTAGCTGGTGGCTAATAATAGGTTCATACGCTGTTTGTTTCTTCAGGATACTGGAGCTCATGTACACTATTGGTTTGGAATGAGGGTATTCCAACTCTCCTAGATGGAGATTGTAGTAATTTAATAGTTGAAATCATGAGCCGATTAAAGCCGGACCACCATGTGAAGCCTGGAAACACTGGACGGCCGTTACGTGCTAGTATGGAACTCCTAAACCATGCTACTATAATATTCACAAAATCCACTTTCTGATAATAATTTTCATGTGCTCATTAGTGAGTTTCGAGTAATTTATACTGTCTAGACATCGACACCGTTGGATGCCAGCTCAGTGGTTTAGCAAACGCAAATCCTGGGTTCGAATCTCGCGGAGCGGGATTGTGGATGCGCGCTTCTGAGGAGTCTTTCGGTAGGACAAAATGGCTGTCTGATGCTTCCAGATTCTTCACGGTGATCAAGCTTTACTCGACGTATTGTAGTAAAATTATCCTGAGTCAGATTTGTTTTAACTATTTGTATTAAGCGATTAGTATACTCACTTTGTTATGATCCATGTTAAGCGTGGCACAAATATATATATATATATATATATATATATATATATATATATATATATATATGATCGTGGGATTCACATAGTCTTCACCTTCCTACAAGTATCATGAAGTGATGTCACTTTTTGTTTCTGACCATAGCTAGCTTACCTCTAACTTACTCTTATTCCACGCGACATCGAGATTTACGGTGGTTAGCCATATTTAGCACGTGTCACACACTCACACATAGTTTTGAGAGCTTATAATTTACTGTGGAGCTAAATAGTGCAAAATTCAAGTCAAACCATCACCAAAGTGACTGACATGCATTCCTCTTGGTATGTGCTTTATACTAAATGTAGACGATCGTGATGGGATTCGTGGATCAAATATATTTTACGATGCATGACAGTATTAGAATCGCTAAATCCACTGCAAACCTTTGCTGAAAAAGATGAATTGCAGCTAAAAACCATCGAATAAATTTCATATTTACTTTTTAATCTTCATATGTCACAAACAGTTGGGTAATTTGTTGCCGCACCACATATTTTGTGCTGTAATCAAACATAGGGAACTGAGTAGTGATTGTTATGTTTCCGCAATATTGAGACTTCAAATGAATTCTAACATAGCGGCAAATTAACTGGTATTTCATTGCCACATTCTGCAAATTCAGTCAGAAATCACAAAAATTAATTCTTTGTTAGCTACGGTTCCCACAAACCTGAGATTACCCATTTTAGGGTTTCTACTTCGGAATTTGAAAGCTGCTTTAATTGTATAACTATAAGAGAACATAGTTATCTACTTCACTCATCTACCCAAGATTGATGTTCCAACTACCATCTTCAAGTGCATAGCTCGATATTACTCTTTTAGATATACTTGTTAAGTGGCAAACGAAATAAGAAGTGCATTGCCATTTATGCAATATGGAAGAGTAATTTTATTCCTCACGATAGGTATAGATGTGTGATTAGTGAGTATGTTCTCTCAAAAAAACACGACCAAGAAAGATCATTTAAAAAGTGTCACTGAACTACAATATAAAAATACTCAAGCCGTTACTATACGTTTGTAGGGAAAATGTGGTCGATTAGTTTCGTGACCACCTGTTTTACAATGGAAGTGTATATAGTTCGAGTCACTATAGAGATACCAATTTGTCGAAATTCTAGTAAATGGATAGTGAGACAGCTTTTGAGTTGCATCACACGAATTATTGATTCTATATTCTTTTAATCTTTTTGATTTCAGTCACAAAGTTTGCAACATTGATTAATAGAATTTATTACAATAGTCAATGACTTCATAAGCATATGCTGCAGTATCTTAAAATGACAGTTTGGAATATACTTCCAGTCTACATATTCTTATGCATAATGTATCGAGATTAGAAGCGTTTATCTATGTTAAATACAAGAAGCAATCACCTGAACACATGAAAGTCCGTAGCTCCATCAACCGCTTCACTATCTTTACTTATTACTTTGTATTTAATCTTAGCCACTAATCATTCGATAATTCTGTTATGTACTAGTGTTATGCTTCACAAGTGTCTGAGGAAAAATAAGATTAACAATCAAGCATAAGTCTATCTACGATGGAGCATTTTTCACATTCATCAAGTAGTGTATAATATCATTACATTGTGTTTAAGTACACATTCAGTGTAGAATATGGATTTATTTTTCTGGATCATATTGCATGACGTTAGGGACTACTGGTTTATTTTTTTTAAAGAAAAAGTTGTGATCACCAAGGTGGCCGGACGGAGTCTTGTCACTTCATATAACAATAATAAAGTCGACCTTAGCTGTGAGGACAACCCCGAGGTAAACTCAAGGAAGTTCAGAACGAGCTGAAGACATTCCATACAATTATCTTTTTGAAGAACATTCCCGAATCTCAATGTGTACCTTCCCTATTGAACAAATGCTAAAAAGCACTATATACGGATTGGATGACTGTAATGATGATTTCGTTTTTATTGAAAAACCATAAATACTTGAGTGTTTTGTACCATAATTGACATTGTTCGGAATAAAATTCCCTCTTATTCGTCTTCTGTCTTCTAACTTGAGACTTGAAGGGTTCTAGTGTTTGAGTACTCAAGTAGTATGCAAGAATATAACAGTTAGTCAGTTACAACATAAGATCAGGCACATATATGCATCAATCCAAGATGCCACACCTCATTAGCACAACAACATGAACACTGAATTCATAGCAGTAGTTAATTCAATGGTAGTAATATATAAAAGAAAGATTGCATATAAGGATATAATAATACAGGAAGGAAGAATTAGTACGTAGAAAGAAAGATATGAAGTGATTTTAATCTCATAGTTTAAAGGAAGATAGAAAGTGTATACACCTACACACCATTGTGATCGATTCTCAGCCATGTCACACAAAGTCTCCAACCATCGGTTACAATAGTCATGCGGATCCTAACCAAGTAGTAGTCTGCATCTATCAATATGGCTAAGATTAGAAGTTAACAAAGAATGAACAAGATGATACAATAGAACGTATATGTATTTATCAAAAGAGAAAAAAATTCACAAATAAAAAAGGAAGTCGGTTAAAGTAAAAATCTTTAAAATCATTCTAAACAACAATCATATTAAAAATAACTACATAGTCATTATGTATCTAACCAATGTACAATAGAATGTTTATACAGTTCATTAGTTGAATAAAATGAATAGTTATCATTATTTAATTGATCTATAGTAGGACATGTTTGTATAGATTTAGGACCAAAATGATATAAACAACCTGTTTGAACAGTTACATATAAACCTTGACATAAAATTTCACCTAAATCTTTTGAATTTGTATGATAATTCACATTATTATTATTATTAGTAGTAGTAGTATTAGTAGTAGCAGTAGTAGTAGTAGTAGTGGTAGTAGTAGTAGTAGTAGTAGCAGTAGTGGTAGTAGTATTCAACAATGGTCCGAAGCAAACTGATGTTATACGTGCATTTTCATCATTATCTGGGAGCTGTTAAAGGCAACAAAAACAAACAAACAAACGACAATTCATAATAACATTAGAGTTCAGTTCATAGTTAATTATTGTTTAGAGTGTATACCACAATATCAACCATTGTTATTAATTGAAAGTTGTTGTTTCGTTATTTGTTGTATAAGCGTTGGTAACACCCAGCAAATGCCCTGATATTACCAAGAGTGAGGAGAGTCAGTTTTCCCTCTCAAAATACTCTCATATGGCCACGTTCATACAGCCACTGATAGGGAAGTTCTACTCACTTAATTCTCGCGGTGACGGTGTTGTTTACGAAACTCAGAAGACGAAAAGCGAATATCTGGCGCTTTAACCGGCTTGGTGGATACGGAGGAAAACCCTGATTTCGAACCAATGCTCTACATGGACTCCAGAATTCTGAGGGAACAAATGACGTATGAACCAACAGTTGATCACCGGCTATCATGAGACTGCATCTCCTTACATTGCTCCACTGCGTTGTGGATTAGACCTCTGGGTCAAAAGCTTCAGTCTGGAGACCCGGACAATATATCACAGCCCACACACAAATCAAGTGACTTGTGTGACGCATATGTATTCGGCACCCCTTTGTACCAATATTTATACGTTCAAATAAATAAATAAATAAATAAAAACTCCATTAAATATGGAATCTAGGATCTCGAAATTTCATGGCAAGTGTTCATCCTAATTTTCGAATGATTCATCATACAATTCAATGATAAGAAGAAATAGTTACTCAATTCGATTGATTCTTTTGAAACTATATTTCTTATAATTAATTTTCCACTAATAATAATTAATGTTATTATGGTTATCTTTTATGTACGGTATTTCATTTTGCCGATTTCCTCTTTAACGGTATTAATCTGACGTGTTACATATGACAAAGCACCGAACTACTGTTTGTCCGATCACCACACTATGCTTGTGTGCACGACAGGCAGACAGATAGCAGTGGGCACACACACACACACCTAGGATACTCAGCCAAATGAGACACTTATTACAAACCTGAGGTTGATGTTGTGTACTGTGCTCCAGAAGAGGCTCGAACTCTCAACCTCCGCGTTATAAGTACGGCGCCCTAACCAATTAAGCTATATCCAACCTTGATACGCACACATTTCTGTTATATCCTACATTGCCTTCCTTGTTTTCAGTGACACCTTAAATGAAACCAATCTGTGACAAACATACCCAACTGTCCTGTGAAATATTTATTTATAATATGTTTTATCAGAGAGGGTTTTGTGGAGATTGTGGTAATTCCAATAGTTGAAATCACGAGTCAATTGAGGCTAGACTACTATGGAAAACCTGGAAACACTGGACGGTGTTTTCGTCCTAGTATGGGACTCGGCAGTGCGCATCCACGATACCGTACCCCGCGAAGTTCGAAACAAGGAACTATCAGTCTCACGCGCGAACACTTAACCACTAAATCACTGAGTCGGACGGCATCCAATGGTGTTACGTCTAACTTCAATCAATCCACGAAATTCAGCGACACATCCACCATTATCTTCAGTTGGTTACTATCTCACAAATGACCCGGTTGAACTCCACTGGTCACTGCTTCTCACTATAATTCCAGGAAATACCTCTTGAAGCCAGTCACTAGTGAGCATATGTTGGTGGTTATCAGAAGGGGTTTTGTAAAGATTGTAGTAATTTCGCTCGAACCCGGGGGCGGGATCGCAGATGTGCACTGATGAGGAGTCTCACAATAGGACGAGCAGATGATTATTATCAGAAGGGGTTTTGTGGAGATTTTAGTAATTTTAATAATTAAAATCATGTCAGTTGTGAGATATCAGCTCACTGAAGACAATGGTGACGGTGGCGCAATTTCGTGGATTGGTTGAAGTTAGACATTAACACCGTCGGTTGCCGGCTCAGTGGCCTAGAGGTTAGGCGCTCGCGCGCGAGACTGATAGCTCCTGGGTTCGAATCTCGCGGGGGCGGGATCGTGGATGAGCACTGCTGAGGAGTCCCACAATAGGACGAAACGGTCGTTCAGTGTTTCCAGGTTTTCTATGATGGTTTAGTTCCAATCGACTTATGATCTCAACTATCAAAGTACTGTAATATTGACAAAAACACACGTTTCTGATATTAATAAAATATCCGTTGAAATACACAAAAAATATTCAAGGAATCAATAAATATTCTAATGATTACTTTATTTAGAAGATCGATAATTTTGTACATAGACACAGGTCAATAGGTTGAAAAAAAATGACTGTAACTGTGGTAACGTTTGAATGAATAGTTTTCATTTAATTACTCTGTGAAATAGATCAATGTCCTAATCAAATCTAAATTTGTTTAGAAGCAATCGAACTGTATTTGAGACATCATTAGTAGTTGATTAAGTTCCAACACAGTTCGTTCAGTTTGTACAGCGTTCTGTTGGCTATATATGGATTAACATTAGGACCATGTTTTAGTTCAGCCTTCTTTTTGATATCAATCAATATTGAACAATAATACAGAAGCCCGGACTAGGAACACCTTGTAGATCGTGAATCACTATTTGTTTCTTATAGATGAATTGAAATCGATGCTTTAACTTTTGAATTTCAAAGTACGGATTGTTTTTATTGTCAATAATGGGATTTAGAATCGTCTCAGACTGATACTACCAGTAGACGAAGTTAACAGTTTTACTTTAAAGTATATGAGAGAATAGATAATTGTTGATGGACTACCAAAATCTTCCTCGTCAAAGTCTTCAGAGGCTCAGAAACTCTAATAAACGTCTTATTCAATCCGCGTTGATTAGAAACTTCTCAAAAAACCCCAGAAAGTACAGAACTACGTCTCACGGTTTCGATTGAATATTCACCTATACTGTTAATATATTTGTTATGGTTCCAGAAATTTCCGGGATCTCAAGGTCGTATATAACTCTATAAATACTCCTGTTTTTTTTTCTGTACATAAACTAACTTTGGAGTAAAATGTTTACTTGCAATTCGCACCTTCTCTCCGTTGTTCCGGTCGAAGTGTGGAAATACTTGACATTATGGCAGACCAGTTAACAAGACAGGTTGAGTGTATCGGTAGCAAGATTTAACAATAATGTTATGGTTGATTAGTGAACAAGCTATAAATATACATAAGGAATTTTGGAAAAATAAATGATCAGTTCTTTGCCATAGAGGACTAGATACTGCATCACTCAATGGAGGGGCTTGGAAAAGAGTTACATCAGTTCTACATGACATGAAACTGATTTCTCTTTGTAATTGATAACTAGACTTCGCATATTGCTGCACATAGAAGTAATCACGACTAGGTAATTTTTAATTAATATCATGAGTGATCTAAGTTTGAAGGAGTATGTATAGTATTTATTTAATGGTAATGTTCAAACAAATAGAAATCTTATTCATTGAGATCTTCAACTGATTGATGTTAGACCACCATTGAAAACCTGGAAGCACTAGACGGCCGTCTCGTGCTATTGTGGGACTCCTCAAAAGTGTGAATCCGCGATCCTGCTCGTAGGATTCGAACAAAGGGCCTTCAGTATCGCTCGCAAACGCTTAACCTCTAGACGACTGAGCTGACCGGTATCCAACGGTGTTAGTGCCTAACCTCAACCAATCCACGAAATTGCGTGAGCATTTCCCATTGTACTGAAGTAGATACTTTTGTCTATCCGACACGGATTAGCTCCACTGGTTGTGGATGAGCACCGTAGAAGAGTTCCGCAACAGGAAGAAAAGGACATCCAGTGCTTCCAGGTTTTTAATGATGGTCTAACATCAATCAATTCAAGATCTCAATCAATAACTTAATAATCTTCACAACCCTATACTGAAAATAGAAATCTAACATAAAAATTAATTAAAAAATTGAATCATAGAAATTTGAATGAATCTAATCCACATAGATAAACACTTACCATATATGTTCGTATTGTATCCAATGTCCATGAATTCAACCAAACTAATCGACCACCTGGACCACCAACTAATAAACAATTCACACCTCGACCTTCAGATACAGTTGAAAATGCCATAGGAACTAAAGGATGATAATTATCATCATAGATTTGTAATAAAAGTGAATCTATTAATGGATCATTGATTTCAGCTAGAAAATCTAAAATACGATTAGCTATCCAAACTCCAGAACAAGAATATAAACCAAGCCAACAGACTGAAATTAAAAAAAAAATTTTATTCATAGAAATGAACAAAAAAAAAGGAACCAGTGAATAGTGCATAGTGATTGATTATTAGCACTAAATGAATGTATGATGTTATTTGTCATTCAGTTCAATGACAAATTAATACTACTAATGTTTGATTGATAATATTTTATGGAATGGGAAAATGAATTTGCAAATGAATAATGCTTGTGAGAAATATGTTCTGATAAATGGTTCATCTAATAATTTAATAGTTGAATTCATAACTCAATTAGAACTAGACCACCATGGAAAACGGGGAAACATTGGACGACCGAATTCTCCTAGTATGGGACTCTTCAGTAGTGCACATCCATGATCCCGCCCCTCTGGGATTGGAAACCAGGATTTATCGGTCTCGCGCGCAAAATTTTGCCACCGTTTACCGTTCATATAATCTTTACAATGAACATATGAGTACTAATTTATCTACGGAACAATAACCTGACTGTTCATCATAGCTTGTTTTTAATCACTTTATCACAAAATTATATCATATTATAAGAGATATCTAGTTCTACACAATTCGCTTAGTGTATCATCAGTGGATATTTGATCGGAAATTTTTATTAAAACTTAATTTAAACAGAAGTATAGAATTACAATTTATCAACCCTGTATAAGTTTAGATACTTGGTTATGTCATGATTTATACTTTCTATGTGTTAGCTAGTTGATACGAATTCATCTGTACAAAATAAATTAAATGGAGTGGAGTTCCAAGTCTTAGCTTGGAATCCTGAAGAGAAGTGGAAAAGAAGAAAGCCAAAAGAACATGAACAGGATGAATAACAACTGGAAAGAGCTGGAAAGGATTGCCTAGGATAGGGTTGGATGGAGAGTGCTGGTTGGCGGCCTATGCTCCTCCACGATGAGTAACAGGCGTAAGTAATTAAGTAAGATTTCCAGCCTGAGATTGAATGGTTGAAAGTTAAATAATATTAGCAACCATGGTTCAATTGATCCAGTAGTCAGATAAATATTAGTTTACCTTTTAAATAGAAACCAATTGATGATTATGTCATTAACCAGCAAAAAATGAGTCGATTTAGTTCATAATCAATTTATATGCTAATTAATCACAAGGATGACATATTTATTTATAACACTTTAATGACTTGGATAGAGTTTAGTTCTCTAAGCTGGATGGTTTGGTCGTAGAGCTTTCATCGTCTACCTGAAGTTTTTGCTGATGATATCATTCAGAAGGACGAGAAAAGCTCCACGACCAAAACCATCCAGCTTAAAGAACAAAACTCCATCAAAATCATCCACCTGAGCTACAAAATTTCTCTACTTTAATGACTTAAAATTAAGGAAAACTTTGTCAAGATATGTATGTCATTTGAAAAAAAAGCTAAACTTTAGTTCATTTTTATTGGTTGGTTGAATTTTCTCAGTGAATATTAGGACTGTAATTTGTTAGTCACTTATTGGTATACGTACATCTTATATGGATTCCATCGATGCAGCCGTTTGTACACAAACACTTTAAACCGAGTTGACTGGTATCTAGCAGTGGAATCTATAAGGCACGTTTCTTCTTACTTGGAAATTATCAATAAAGAAGATTCAAGCAATCAATACAAATGAACTAAGAATCACTCCCATCAAACAAGGCAGTAGCGATTTGGACTCAGTAGGTAAGTGGATAAAGTGTCGTTGTTTGAAGCAAAAGGTACTTATTTACAGTTCCGGGGTGGACATCAACTCTGGGGTGCAAGTAAGTCCGGCTGATGAGTCTCAAATAGGACAAAACATGAGTCCTGGATTCCACTACTAAGGACCACCCATCTTTGCTTAAAATCTACCAAACTTTAGTGGAATTTCAACGAAGTCATATACTGAATGGTTTACACAGGTAAATCTTAAAACATATTATTATCATCAAAGTTACATGATCGAAGAAAATTGATTAATTGAACCATTATTCAGTTTCATAGTCAGAAATATGAATAATGAAACTATCATGAAAAGCGATAGAAACTGTTGTGGAATTGGAAGAACGTAAATTTGTAAATGCCTGACCAATGTCATGTTTTTCGAGCTATTTTTAGTGTTGCATGAACACCATTTGGCTGTTAAACGCCATGACATATCTTCGCTTCAATCAATCCATGTGGACAATTGCGCACACAAATTCTACTGGAAAAAGGTTAAAATCTTGGATAGAGGAGTTACTAAAAACACTAGAGTATATTTACGGATACTGGTACAAGGGGGCACCAGATAAATATACACCATACAAATCTCATTTGATTTGTGTGAGGGCCGTGATACTGCCTGGGTGCTCAGACCGAAACAGTTGGTTTTCTTAGGGGGTCACATCCTGAGCCTTTGACCTAAAGGTCTGATCCACAAGGCAGTGGAGCATCGTGAGGAAATGCAATCCCATTGTAGCCGGTGACCAACGATTGGTTCGTACGCCATTTGTTCTTTCAGGATACTGGAGCCCATGTGCACCATTGGTTTGGAATCAGGGTTTTTCAACTCCACATCCGTGTCGACCAACCTGGTTAAAGTGCCGGACATTCGCTTTTCGTCCTTTTAATTTCTTAAACAGCAGTAATACCTCGAGAAGGCAGTGATTAGGACTTCCCTGTTAGTGGTTTTATGCACGTGGCTATGTGAGAGCATTTCGAGAGAGAGAGAGCGGATTCTCTCCACTCTCGGCCGTACCAGGGCATTCGGAGGCACACAGAAGGCATACAGTAATGAAATAACAAATAATCATCAGTTACCATAAACAAAATGTTATGGAATCTCAAATAACAGGATGTTTAGTAAAACAATAATAATAATAATAAAACGAACAAGTAAATATCGGATTGTTAATTACCATTAAAATTAGGATGATTCCATTTGGCTACAACTAATTCACCGGATGTTAAATTGAAGCATATTCCATCAATACGTTTAAAATTATTCAATAATACTGAATCATCATTGATATTTATAAAATCAGCTGTTGAAGTACTACTGCTACTACTACTACTACTACTACTACTTAAAATAGACTTCTTTTTCTTCATTTGTATATCTTCATTACTTTTATGTATGGAATTCTCCACAGTAAGATGATTAGAGGAGTATCGTCTACGGGGTTGTTTCAAATCATGAATGCTATGGTAATCTTGACCGGTATTAGTAGTAGTAGTAGTGATACTATGACTCTGACTACTATTTGAACTATCACCGAATTCATTTTGTTGATAATCATGATCATTAATAATATTAGTATTAATTGTTTTAATTAATGTTAAACGATATCTATCCCATAAACATACATAACCTTGATTATCACCACTAGCAATTAAACTATTATTACGATTAATTACTAAACTAGTGATTTCATGTCCAGCATGACCATATAATTGTTTCCAACCGGTAATTTCCCATAAACCAGCGGTTTCTTTATTATTATTATGATTCTCATCATGAATAGAATGATTAAGAGTTTGAGTAGGATTCATCGGGGTAGTAGTAGTAGTAATAGTCAGTTTTGAATGTTTCATGTTTCGTTTTGTTGATTCTTTTCTTGATCGTTTATGAATATTTGCTGTACAATTTGGTTTATCTTCATTTAATGATGATTCTCCTTGATAATCCTGTTATGAGGAAAAGAAAAATGAAGACTGTTTTTTTTTGATGTGGTTATATACATGAAAAAAGGATGAATAACATACAGACTGAGAGATATTATTTACAGAACTATTAAGAAAGTAAAGAGAACTAAACAATATTTATAATGAGCAAAAATAGATAGTGGCTAGCAGTGGAATCCAGGACATGCGTTTCGTCCTATTTGAGACTTGTCGGTTGGATGTACCTGCATCTCAGAGTTGATTTTCGCTCTGAGACTCGAACCTAGTACTGTTCTCTTCAACCGCCATCACATTATCCACTTAGCTACTGAGTCCTGATAACCACTTGCTTGTGCAATGGGGGTGAAGTTTAATTCACTTGGCATTGTTTTACTTGAATCTTCTCATTGATGTTTAGGACTGAAATTGATCAGTCTCTTATTGGTATATGTGCATACTGTGTGTATTGACTCTATATTGCTTTAATTCATAAGCATTATAAGTAAAGATGTGTAATAGAACTCGTCATCTAGATGTATCTGAATCTCAGAGTGGATGTTCACTCTGGGACTCAAACTCAGTACTATTTGCTCCAAACACCATCGCGCTATCCACATAACTACTGATAAATAAATAGAAAAACAATACCAAGTGAATTCAACATTTATAATGATTCTAGGAGTTGATTTAATGATTTAGAGGTTAAATTAATTAACCGTTAACAAATACATTGTAGGATCAAACTCCGCCTTACCTAATACAAGTGAGGAATGGCGTTACATTAACCAGAATACAAACAATATAGCTTATATTTGGATTATATAATTCTATACTTGGTGAATTATTTACAAAATATGTTCAAATTTATTATTCTGATTAGGGCTATCAAATCCCGACCGTTGTTGCTACCTTGACGTGGTGGTCGGGCTTGCCTATCGTGATGAAGCAACCGAGCTATACTGGCTGGAACAACCGTTCCTCAAGGTCCTACCATGTCAGACAGGTCGGTTGAAGAGCGGTAAGACTAAAAGCAACAAACCCAAGGTCCGAAGGCGAAGTCGTACTGCTGACTTTACAGAGGTGTGATAGCAGTAAGGTGTTTCCTTCAGACAACCAGCATGACAGCGATGCTGCCTTCCCACAAGGAGGGGTGGGGTTAGAAAAGGTCGACCCTAAAAATGCACACCTCGCCTTATCCCACGGATATCCGTCTCCGGCGGTAAGGTCCCAATAAGTACGGAGCTAACACAAAAATTACCCATAACAAGGTCGTGTGTGACCGACCTCAAGCAGTTGTCCCTTGGGCACTGCGGTCACGCTCTCAGGTCACTAAGACCACCTTTAATCCAAATTCCTTTTCAGGTACCTCCAGAACAACCCTTCCACGGTGTGGGCAACCGGGAAGTGAAAACCGCCCTCATACCTCTAACAGCACTCAAGACCACTGTATTCATAATCAACCTTCCTCTTCAATTCCTATTATTCCTCCTACATCGACTTTCAACTTTAAATTTCCTCTCTCGGCTTCCACCTCAAGTGTCACCATAGCCAACGATTCTAGTGCGCAAAATACTGTCCCAGGTCTACTGAAACCTCGCTCCAAACTACACATTGGAGCCTTCAACGTACGAACCCTATGTCAAATCGGTCAGCAGGCTTCCTTGGCTAAAACCCTAGAGTCTCTTACCATTGACGTGTGCTGTGTCTCCGAAACACGCATACAGGATTCCAGTGTGGTCATTCACCTGACCTCACCTCGGCAAAACGGAGAGCCAACGAGGTACACCCTTCGTGTATCTGGTGACCCGATGGCAAGTTCTCGTGGACTGGCAGGTGTAGGCATAGCACTAAGCATGAGGGCGGAACAAGCACTGCTAGAGTGGTTCCCCGTCAACAGTCGTCTATGTGCTGTTCGGCTGAACGGCTACGTAAGAACTCGGAAGGATAGGGACACACGTCGTTGCCTTTTTGTCGTTTCTGCCTACGCTCCCACTGACTGAAGCTCAGATGATGTGAAAGATGAATTTTACAGAAAGCTGTCCGAACTTCTTCAGAAAGCTAAACGCTCAGACATAGTACTCGTAGCAGGTGATTTTAATGCTCAGATAGGCAGTTTAAACCAAACAGAAAGGCATTTAGGTGGATATTTTAGTATTCCGACACAGCGAACAGATAATGGTGATCGTCTGCTGCAACTATGCTCAGACAATCGTTTATTTTTAGCAAACACAAATTTTAAGCATAAGGAGAGACATCGTCTAACATGGCGACCCCCTACACCAAACCAACGATGGACTCAAATAGACCATATTGCCATCAGTCATCGTTGGAGAGGGTCGGTAGAAGATTGTCGCTCATTCTGGAGTACCTGCTTGGACTCCGACCATGCCCTAATACGGGCACGCATCTGCTTGCGCCTCACTGGACGCAAAAAAGCCACATTAAAAAGACCCGTTAGAACTGATTTGAGTAACGAGAAAACCAAAAGTAGGTTCCAGGAACAACTGAGGTCACACTTAGGTAGTTGTGAAGACGAGGCTGACCCAGATGTTGCTTGGAAGGGCATACAATCAGCTGTGGAAACAGCAGTGACATCTATTAGTGACTTAAACCACAGAGTTGCAAGGAACCAGTGGATTTCTTCAAGGTCTGTCACACTGATGGATTCTCGCAAACTCGTCCCATCAGGTCCTGAACATCATGAAGAGCGAAAACAAATCAGATCTAGGTTAAGAAAAAGTCTAAAGAACGACCGTGAGCAGTGGTGGGTAACGAAAGCAAAAGAGATGGAAAAGGCGGCGACTATAGGGAACACAAGACAGCTTTACAGACTAATAAAAGAAACTGGAATTAGTAAGTCAAGTGTAAGTGAGATTATTTCGGAAAAAGATGATACTCTCATCTGCTCCCAGTCCAGACGTTTAGAACGATGGGCGGAACATTTTAGAGAACAGTTCAGCTGGCCTTCAGCTACTCTACAACTACCCTCCATTCCCAGACAGTGTGAATGGAACATTGAAGTAGGTCCCCCTACTCTTGCTGAAGTTCAAAAGGCTATAGTTAATCTGAAACGAGGAAGGGCAGCTGGTCCAGATGGATTGGCTCCAGAGGTCTTTAAGGATGGTGGTCCAATTTTAGCGATTAAGTTGACTAATATTTTAGCTAAGATCTGGGAATTAGACTTTATCCCATCTGACTGGTCGCAATCACTTATCGTCCCAATATATAAGAAAGGGTCAAAATCATCCTGTGACAACCACAGAGGGATTAGTTTAACAAACATAGTTTCTAAAATACTGGCCTCGATAATTATCAAACGCCTAACTAAGACTCGTGAACTACAAACTCGAGAGAACCAAGCTGGCTTTAGACCTGGTCGTGGCTGCATCGACCACATATTCACCATTCGTCAGGTTCTAGAACACAGGCATACCTATCGGCGTCCGACGATGGTGGTCTTTCTTGACTTAAAAGCAGCATTTGACTCGGTAGACCGCGAGACTCTGTGGCAGTGTCTGTCATTGAAAGGCGTACCTCAGAAGTACATAAACCTTGTGAAGGCTCTTTACTCGAACACTACTAGTCGAGTCAGGGCTTATGGCGAACTGTCATCTACTTTTGCAACCTCAAGTGGTGTCCGTCAAGGCTGTCCACTTTCTCCATTTTTGTTTAACTTCATCATAGACCTATTGATGGAAATAACACTCTCGTCGACTGAATTCTCGGGTATTGATCTCCTTCCAGGAGGTCCACTTATCGACTTAGAATACGCAGATGACATAGTCCTGTTTGGTGAAGACGCTGACAAAACGCAGAGTCTTCTGGTAGCACTAAGCAACAATGCCAGAATGTTTGGGATGCGCTTCTCTCCCTCTAAATGCAAGTTGTTGCTTCAGGACTGGTCTGCGTCAACACCTGAACTAAGGATAGGGAGTGAAGTAGTCGAACGCGTTGATAACTTCACTTATCTTGGAAGTCTGATCAGCCCTAATGGGTTGGTATCGGACGAAATCTCAGCACGGATTCGAAAAGCTCGCTTGGCTTTTGCCAACTTGCGTCACCTTTGGCGAAGGCGAGATATCCGTCTATCAATAAAAGGACGAGTATACTGCGCGGCAGTTCGTTCTGTTTTAATTTACGGATGCGAAACGTGGCCATTAAGAGTAGAAGACACTCGTAAGCTACTATTATTTGACCACAGATGCCTTAGAAATATTGCTGGCGTCTGCTGGGATCACCGGGTAAGTAATAGTGAGGTTAGACGCAGGGTATTAGGGAATGATGGTAAATCAGTTGATGAGGTTATGAATCTTCATCGACTGAGATGGTTGGGCCACGTATTACGTATGCCTGAACACCGATTACCACGACGTGCAATGCTAACCGGGGTAGGGGATGGTTGGAAGAAAGTTAGGGGCGGCCAAACCAAAACGTGGCATCAGTGCCTGAAGTCACTAACTTCTACTCTGAGCCACGTTGGTAGATGCAGACTACTTGGTTGGGGTCCGCGTGACTTTCGTAACCAATGGTTGGAGACTCTTGGTGACATGGCTCAGAATCGATCACAATGGCGTCGGTGTATACACTCCCTGTCTTCCCTTAAACTAAGAGATTAAAATCACTTCATTCTTTCTGTCTACGAACTAATTCTTTCTTCCTATACTATATCCTTATTGCAACCTTTGACCTAACCACTCCTATGAATCCGGTGTTCATCTTGCTGTGCTAATGAGGTATGGCAACCTGAACCGATGCACATATGTGCCTGGTCCTACGTTGTAGCTGACTGACTGACTGGCTATCAAATAATACATTAATATAGAATAATTAGCAGGTACATCCACTCTTTGTGTTCTACCAGATTTATTTCACTGGATTATACTCCTTGAATAACAACTTCAAACCCTAATCTTTCCGATTACTGCTTATACTTTTACAAACTCTACGACTATGGGATTTGAATCGACAATTGTATCTGTGTGTTAATGTGATATGGCAACTTGAACTGATGTAAGTGCATATGTGCGAAGTTCTACGTTGTTGACTGACTGACTGACTGATAGGATAATTAAAAGTCACAGGTATGAAGAAATTTGTAAGGATTTTTTGTGAAGTTCATCATTTATTGAAAAAGTGAATAAACCTATAGAATACATGGATACAAGGATCTTATAAATGAATTATATATTAGATATTAATTCTCAGTTTAGGGGTTGTGGAGATTGTCAAGTTTTTGATTGAAATCATGAGTCAATTGAAGCTAGTCCAATGCTTCCAGGTTTTCCATGGTGGTCTAGCTTCAACTGACTCATGATTTCAATCAAAAAAGATATTAATTCATTGGTTTGAAATTCTTGGCCTCAATTTCTGGAAGGATCAAGTGAGTACACTGTTAATCCATAATAACACGAAACAGATAGCCAACACTATGGTTCTTCATAGCTGGCTAGCTGAAGTCAGTTCATGAAGCAAACGATCTTTGAAAATCAGATATTTCTTAAAATAAGCACGTTTATTAACATTGATCTATGAATTCACTGGTTGTGTATTGAGGTTAATTGTATTGTTTGTTGATTTGGAGTGAACTAATGGTGAGGCGTGTGAAAAAGTTTAATAACTGTTTGATAAAAGAATTAATTTTCAGGTGCATGACAAACGTCCACTATCGATTTAACAATAAACACTATAAACCATTAGATGGTGTAGCTATGGGATCAACACTGAGTTCTCTCCGGGCAAACATTGTGTTTGCAAAGTAATAATTAACATTCATCTATCAACTACATTTACGCTTGAGAAAGAACAGAGTAATAGCATATCATTTCTAGATGTCCAATTAACAAAAAAGATTAGGCAAAACATAAAAGAGAGGGATAAGTAACGAAATTCCAAATTTCACGATAGACATAGTTCTACAGTTCCGCAAAAGAAACTCAGTAAAAATACTGACTTGTTGTGGAAAAATGATTTGCTTTCATGACGCTATTGAAGATGAATTGAATAATATTCGTAACCTTATTGGAAGGAATAGATATAGAGCTAAATTCGTCAACAAACACGTCGACGAAATAAAAATTAGACTAAAGGCAACGACTGTTCCGAAGAAGTTACTGTTTTTGAAGCTGCATTTCAAAAATGAATCTAACGATGAAATCATCATATGTAACTCAGAATCTGACACATGTACATCGGTCCAAGTTGTCATATCATATTAGTACAACTCGATAAAGTTATTTCAAGACGATTCAGAGCCACCTCATTTGAAGTTTCTAACCACTGGTTACGATAATCACTCAGACACCAACCAGGTAGTCTACACTTATTAACATGGACAAGTCCAATTGTCAACGACTTAATAAATAGGTGCCACATCGTGGTTTGGTCGCCCCCAGCCTTCTTCAATCTACCTCTACATCAGACAACGTTGTCCATCGACGTATGGGGTGGTTGGGCACACGAGGCACATGTCTTAATCCCTCCAAGTAATGAGGATTTACTAACTCATCAATAAAAATATTGAAACAAAGGTTCAAAAAAGCTATGCGAGAAACGTTTATTGAGCCGAAACTGAATGTGGTTTCAAATGATTGTCTGAAGATTCGTTTGTTTAACTTTCATCAGTTCATGATTACATTGAAATTCAACAGTATACAAAACCTTATATAAACATTCACGTGCACTTATCAATTCAATTATTCCTGCGAAGCCAGCTGTATTAGGCGCATAACTCAACAACTCCGTCAATGTACATAAGAACACTATCCGTGTCGGTTGAGTTAAGGACAATTGAGGTTGATCAGGAGTTCGATTAGTGAAACTACAATTTATGGATGACATTTGAGCGATGCCCAAGTGACATTGAGAGTGTCTACCTACTTATTAGGGCTAAATGATGGTTATAAAGAAGTCTGAACAATAAGGATTACGATACACAGTTGATGGTTAGGGTCAGCAGACACTTTTACACCACTACTCAATCAGAATGGTTTTCATTGAAATCAGGAACTGATTTAAGTCAGGTTACCATCGACAACTTGGAAGCACTGGACGGCCGATTCGTCGCAGTGTGGGGACCGCTGTCAGCGGTGCGTACCCACGATCCTGCACGCTGGACTTGAATCCAGCACCTACAGTCTCATGCACGAACGTTTAATCCTACATTATTCAGTCGGCAATCAATCCATGACATTACGCGACCATCTTCCATCGATTTCGGTGGGAACCGTCTTACACCCGACACGGGTTAGCTCAATTAGTAACAGCTTCTTACTAGAATTATTTCATTGTTGTAAATTATATACATCTTTTCACTAGATTACATTGTCGATACTGAGATACGACTATTGTGTACATCTTCAGTAATCAATTTTTCTCTTGTTGTCCCAGCTATTTCTTTTATCTCAAACTTTTAACCGTGATCTAACCTTTGATACTTTTGTTGGGCATAGATCAAGCTTCACTTTATGTATCAATTATGTGCGAAATTCGTTTAATATAGCGTTTATTTATGTTCTTAATATTTCTATTATGTAATAATTTGGTATAACATTTATTAAAGTTCGAGTTATTCAAAGTACATCTGTATGTAAATGATCATATTGACATGTGATTTAAAAAATTCTATTCTTGATCTGGTTGGGATTTCTTTAGAAAGATATTTTTCTGCAGGACGAGGTGGCCAACTCCGACTAAATGCCCTGATACGGCCGAGAGTGGAGAGAATCCGCTCTCCCTCTCGAAATGCTCTCACATAGCCACGTGCATACAACCACTAACAGGGAAGTCCTAATCACTGCCTTCTCGAGGTATTACTGCTGTTTAAGAAATTAAAAGGACGAAAAGCGAATGTCCAGCACTTTAACCAGGTTGGTCGACACGGATGGGGAGTTGAAAAACCCTGATTCCAAACCAATGGTGCACATGGGCTCCAGTATCCTGAAAGAACAAATGGCGTACGAACCAATCGTTGGTCACCGGCTACAATGGGATTGCATTTCCTCACGATGCTCCACTGCCTTGTGGATCAGACCTTTAGGTCAAAGGCTCAGGATGTGACCCCTAAGAAAACCAACTGTTTCGGTCTGAGCACCCAGGCAGTATCACGGCCCTCACACAAATCAAATGAGATTTGTATGGTGCATATTTATCTGGTGCCCCCTTGTACCAGTATTCATGTGTTCAAATAAATAAATAAAAATGACGACTCCATACCCAAACATTTTCCTCCTCTCAGGCTTTGGAACAGCAGTAACTCGAGAAAAGATACAGGCGGAGTTTAGAGCTTTGATAGTCAAACAAATTTCTACTTTTCATAAAATGTTTTTGTTTTGTCAAGTGTTGAATTATATCTATTCTATGTCAGTCATGAAAACTAACTTCTAGAGAGAAGTGGGATGATCAAATCAATCCGTTTTCAACCACTAAGTTGTAGGTTACAACTATCCATTCCACACACTTCAGTTTTGAATTTTGTGTTGTAATAGTATCACTAGCTTTAACACAATATTGGTTCAACTGTAAATGGGTGATACTATAGAGTATTCAATATTTTCCATTCCAAATTCCAACTGTCAACTAGTACAAAACTTAAGCGAGACTGATTGAAATGACTCAAAATCGTTTGTTATGGCTTAGATTTCTTGGATTTTGTCAGATGATTTCATCCCTCTGTTCTAATGAGGTATGACAGTTTGAACTGATGTGTATACGTAGCAGATTCTACATTGTGACTGACTGATTAAATGTAAGATACTTATATCAGGTACAAAATTACAATGACTTACTTGTGGTAACCAACTGTCAATGGATGAAATATCATATAAATTTGTAGGCAATTGTCTTACATATATTGATCCAAAACAGGTACCAACAAATAATTGAATACCATGACTTGAACTAGGTGAAACAGCTAATGAAGTAATTAAAGATTTTCCAGTATCGAATGGAAGAGGATTTGAATATGGTAATTGTAAGTTTATCTCATCATTATGTTGATGATGATGATGATGATGTAGTTCTGATGGAGAGGAATCAGTAGTTCCAAAAGGTTCGTCATAAGGATAATTAGAAGTAGCATTACAAGTACTATGTGATTCTTTGGGTAAACGTTTTATAAAAATATTTAAAGTTCTATTGTCTAGTAAAGATGGTTTCAATTTTATTAAATATGGTACAGGATACAATTGATCTTGTAAATTACTAATGTCTAGTAATAACGATACCCATATACATGCATTTGATTCACAGTGAAGAATTTTCCAATACCATGAACAATCAGTATGAACATCTGTTGTGAACGATGATGATGATGATGATGACATTTCTGTAGAATGAGATGATGAGAATGATGACAAGAAACATTCACCTATTTCATGATCAATGTTGAAATCAACCCAACCATTCCAAGAATGATATAATTTATCATTATTTATTGAAGAGATATTGTTAAATTGATTCATACAATGAAGTAAATGAGTATCTTTCCTATTGAATTCACACCATATAGAACCGGTTAAATGACTAAGAAATGGTATTTTTAATATTTCAGAATATTCCAGTGAATTCTTTGTACTTTTCGATACTGATAACTTTGTATTGATGAACTGTTTCTTCCAAATTATTTCAAACTATATACATAATAAAAAGTAATAGTTATCATCATAAAAAAAAACATACAAATAAGGGGAATATTATTTTATTCAGGAAGCGATTTAATTTAAACAACCATTGAAAACCTGAAAACATCGGACTACCGTTTCCTCCTAGTTTGGAACACTTGAACAGTAGAGATCGACAAACATATAACCGGAAATCAAACTCATGACCTTCGGTTTTGCGTGAAAGCAGAGCACTGACTCGGGTGCTTGAAGTCACTAACTTCTAGTCTGAGCCATGTTGGTAGATGCAGACTAATTGGTTGGGGTCCAAGTGACTATCGTAACCAATGGTTGGAAACTCTTGGTGACATGGCTCAGAACCGATCACAATGGCGTCGGTGTATACACTTTTTGTCTCCCCTTAAACTAATAGATCAAAATCGCTTCATATATTTCCGTTTACGAACTAATTCTTTCTTACTGTACTATATCCTTATATGTAATCTTTCTCTCTGAATTAACTACTTTTATTAATCCGGTGTTCATCTTGTTGTGTTAATGAGGTATGGCAACTTGGACCGATGCATATATGTGCCTGGTCCTACGTTGTAGCTGACTTACAATAGTACAAAGGTTTAACTCTAACCTCAGGTTGCAAGGAAGTAGATAAAAACTCCTGAGAAGTCCAACTTTAGGACGAAACGACCTAGTGGTGCTTCCAGGTTTCCAATGGTTGGCTAACTTAGATTGGTTTTTAGTTTCAATATACTTCAATAATCTCTACAACCACTCTAATGCAAATACTACTTATAAGAACGATTTTAGTCAGGGTTGTACGTTTCACCTTATGCGAAAGTGATTAGTTGAATAGTGACACCATTTTAAAGTATAAGAATGTAAAATGAGTTGAAAAATCAATACTTTGTTGACTTTCGAGTCACAAAAATGAGCAAAAAATATACACCCAATTTAAACTTCTACTTCATGTATTGAATACACAAGCTGTATCTATATAGAGTCTATATACAATAATTGTCTAGGTTCATGCTTAACACCCAAATACGTGCGGTGACTTGATGGTTACAGAAACCAACTAGTGATAAATAGATTGCACGTTCAAGATTCAATCAGTTTACAAGACATGTTATTCGATGTCATCAGTGATCCATGTCTTACATTTCCAACATAGAATAAACTAATTAAAATCAATTAATCAACCAGCTTTTTTCGTCATGATTTGTGACGTCTCAGAAGAGTGAGATAGAATCAACAAAATAAATACCAATACAATCAGAATAACAATAGTGTCAATGACTGGATACATCCGTGACACTAACCGATTTCAAACCATTTCATATAAGGTCTTTCAATTATCAATCATGATTACATTCTCATAAATTCTGTTAGTTTAGTCTTGTTAATAAGATATTATGTGTTAAATATTTTATTGATTAAGTAGCCTGTAGCTCTCCTATGGTTACTGCCGGTCCCAAACCTGGGTAAAGGAGGAGGGTTGGGCGTTAAACCAGTATCCCCATCCCGTAGAAAACAACCTTGCTAAAAATATGCTAACTACTAAGCAAACGTAAGGAGTACATACTGAGAGGAAATAATATTTAGATACGATCAATTGGTGTGATACTTTATGAATTCAATCAATCAATTGTACACTCACAGAGTTCACCTGTGGACTACCTGCCCATTCACCCCATTTTAATCCAATCACAGTTTCTAACGGTGTGTTGTCCAGTTTAACTGATGAGTATTGTTTGTCACTCACAGAAAACGTTGCCGCTTGTAATGAATTCTTATCGTCATCATTGATATTATTACAGTTAAATAATGCGGGTGTAGAAGAACGTCTATCTCCAACGTTCTCTTGACTCGTCATATTATACATTGTACCAGTGGATTTACTTTTAAATTTTGACGTCATATTCAGTCTGGCTTCATTAGAAAACGGCAATTTACTGAAACAAAGTTTCATAAGAATACAAAACAAATGAAATGAGATTATTAGTAGGACATATAAATGGGCAAATTATCAGATAAAATCGAATTACGTTTGTTAATTCGAAGGACATATTGTCCCGAGAGTCAAAGTCATCCATCAAAAGAATGAATAGTATTTGATAAAAATCGGAAAGACGAGACCAGTAAACAATTGGCTGGAGAACACTGGTAGGCACCCTATGGCTCATGAGGGGTAAAATGTGTGAGCAGTAGCAATTAGTACTTTTAATAACACATCGGATGTAGTCAGGAAATATTTTAAATTTGTCAACCAGGAAGCTGAGTAAACTGTGCAATGGTTCGCTCCATACTGCTTTACAGTTGTGAGGTAAAAGACGCATATTTGTTGCAAGTATTCTTTCATAGCTGTCTATGAAGGCAATGATCATAAACGGTAGAACCAATGAATGAGCGATCCTGAAGTTATACTTGGTAAAAAACAAAAAATCAATAGACAGCCATAAACTTAGGTTGGTTAGTAAAGATGTTACACTTCCCTATCCAACACGTACTACAACGGTCAGTGCTGATTGTATTCGTCATAGGTTGGAAAAAACTGCAGATAAGCTAGTTAAGACAAAGCGCCAATCCAACTTCTGTTCTAAGTCATGAAGGTGGGTGGGGACTTCTTAGTTCAGACCCAGGCAATATTCGTAATCAATAGTTAGGAAAGTTCGCTGATCTAATGCGAAATCGATTGGTTATCGATTATTATCAAAGCAAATTGACTTGATTTAGGAAACAATGAATTTATTTTCATGGTTACTTGAAAAATATACAACTAAACTCTATCCGTTACATAGATGTTAAATAAGAAATTCAATACGATTCGGTTAACAATGATTGTCATCATATAAACATTCAATTTCTAATCTTTCAAGTCATTGTAGCCAATAGTTAACAAATAAATAATGGGTAATATAAATTTTCTGATAATTATGAAAATCAGATGTTAACCATATTGATTGTGTCATAATTTTTCCCTTCAAAGCTACGGTTTATATTAGATGAAAAATATGGCAAACGTTTATATAACTAATATGGTATTTTCTATCACTGAAAGAATGTTACGCAGATAGGCAATTCTTTCTCTATGTAACACATCTACACCGCTACCAGTAGCTCGTACTTTCATAAGAGCTGCTTCCAGACTGCAACCGATAGTAAATTTTAAAGAGGAATGATAAAGTTGAAAAATCCTGTCTCTCTAACTCAAACACTGGATTAGAACAATGAAGAAACATGGTCGGATGCTTGTATATAAAGCTTTTAGGATACTAATAAAATAATTAGGCAGATGTTTCTTCAACAGACAATCAAAGAATACAGTTAAGTTAAACGTACTAAAAACGCCCCCTCCCCCTGATACCAAAAGGCATAAAGATTGTCGACTTGTAATCATCTTTGGAAAATTAGATGAGACTAAGTCAGTCAGTCAGCTACAACGTAGGACCAGGCACATATATGCATCGGTTCAAGTTGCCATACCTCACAACACAACAAGATGAACACCGGATTAATAAAAGTAGTTAATTCAGTGGTGGTAATATATAAAAGAAAGATTACATATAAGGATATAGTACAGGAAGAAAGAATTAGTTCGTAAACGGAAATATATGAAGCGATTTTGATCTATTAGTTTAAGGGAAGACAGAGAGTGTATACACCGACGTCATTGTGATCGATTCTGAGCCATGTCACCATGAGTCTCCAACCATTGGTTACGATAGTCACGTGGACCCCAACCAAGTAGTCTGCATCTCCCAGGTGAGACTAAAGTAAATTGTGTTCAAAAAATTTAGTGTATAATGTTTCTAATCTCAACGACTAGTATTCGCTCCTGACTGACCAATTCTAACTAGCATGAAAAGTAGATTCAGAGAGGCATCTAACATTAGAACATGGTATTTATGATAAAACATTAGATTAAGAATAACACAGCAGTTTGACAAACCTAAGTTACTATCATAGATACTCAATATGCATACTTAATGTGTTTGATTTCTCTTTTTTTTTGACTTACCGACATGGATGAGGATGTTTGTGAAATAATTGTTTCGGTGTTTGACCATAATTATTAATCATACCTTCAATAGCTTGTGCTAAAATAGGATCGTCTATTGTATCCACATTGATTGAGCCAAAATATGTCTAATAAGTGTTGATTAAGAAAACAAAATAATATTTGTTTTTATCGAAAATTATTAATATACTACTAGAATAAAGTAGATAACAATCATTAATTTCATACACATAGTTCTTTTTATAATTTTGAAAAGATCAAGAACAAACATTCTAGTAGAATAGCATGAATTCATTTTTTTTTTATTTCGTCCGATTCTCGTCAGTTGCTCACAATCTGGGATATTTAAGAATCATAATTACATAATGGGTTTGATTGGAAGTTATATTGTAGATACTTCAGTAGAGTATAGCAAGGGTGTAAATACAACATTGATTGTGACAACAGTTCAAACGATCAGAAACAAGTCAATAACTAATGTATCAGAAGAGGTTTTGTGGAGATCGTAGTAATTTCAATAGTTCAAATCATGAGTCAATTGAAGTTAGACAACCATGGAAAACCTGGAAGCACTGGATGACCGTTACGACCTACTATAGGACTCCTCAGCAGTGAGCATCCACGATACCGCACCCCGCAAGGTTCGAAACAAGGAACTATCAGTCTCACGCGCGAGCACTTAACTACTAGGTCACTGAGTCGGACGGCATTCAACAGTGTTAATGTCTAACTTCAATTAATCCACGAAATTCAGCGACACATTCACCATTGTCTTCAGTAGGTTACTATTTCACAAGTGACCCGGTTGAACTCCACTGGTCACTGCTTCTCACTATAATTCCAGGAAATAACTCTTGAAGTCAGTCACTACTGAGCATATGTTGATTGTTATCAGAAGGGGTGAGATCGTGGATACGCACTGCTGTGGAGTTTCACAATAGGACGAAACGTCCTTCCAGTGTTTCCCGGTCTTCCATGATGGTCTAGCTTCAATTGACTCATGATCTCAACTATTGAGATTACATAATGAGTAAACATTAATAGAAATAAAATGAGTAGAGCTCAGTAGATAAAATAAGATTACAAATTTGGAAGATACTTGAAATATAACTCCATGATGTAATGGATAAAAGGAAGAGTTTAAAAAATATATAAAAAAATTTGAGATTCAGCGAAGGAATATTTATCACCAAGGTAAGGAAAGATTAATAACCATGGTTATTTCAAAACAATGTTTAACTTCCTAAGTCACTGGTAATTATAGATGATAGTGATTTGTAATTTAGAAAGATGATATTCATTATTTTGCATTGTTTATTCTCATGAAATCATTGACGGTTGAACTGATATATGTAGGTGAATGCAAAATAATCTCAGTCAATAGTTAGAAAAGTCGGGTGATATGATTCATAATTGATGTAAATGTTATAGATGCAGTCAGTCTTTGCCTTTTCGTTCAGGTGTTGATTTTCAAAATTATCCTAAACTTTGTTATTCGATGAATTCCTTCTTATTTCTTGGATTATATTGTTTATGTGTAATCTTTTCTTGTACTACTAATGCTAATATTATTGCTACTATAATGTATGCTACTTATATCGACAGACATAAGTAGTATGGAGTACCAGTAGGAAGTGGAAAACCTGGTATCAAAAGGCTAAGAAGATCGAGTTGAGGAGAATGGAAGGAAAAATAGAAAGCAATTATGAAGTGGGGCAACTGTACAGTGTGTGAAGGACAAATGATGGAAGTTTGCAAATGAAGTATTCTGTGTATGGTTCTCATATTTTAGCAAGAGATTCTGTAATTTAGTTTCAAAAATAAATTGATGGTCACTTCCTTGAATGTTCGTTTACTACACTACTAGCCTGACATTATTCTTGATAATTTCACCCCAAAGTGACGATATGGTCTGGCGAAGTGAACCGACGTACATTCGCGTCAGGTTCTACCTTGCTTGAGACTGAGGTGAACGGTTTTTATTTATAAAGGTCTTACTATCTTTCTAGAAAACAATATCATCAGTAGTGATATGAATTCAAAGCAAGATTCTTTACTTTTATCACATTAATGTGACTTCTGAGCAATGAGAAACGTCTGGAATGAGAGCAGATAAGAGTGTCATCCTTTTACGAGATCGGCTCACTTACACTTGACTTTTTAATTCCAGTTCCTTTTACTAGTCTGAAAAGTTATCTTGTGTTACCTACAGCCGCTGCCTTTTCAATCTCTTTTGCTTTCGTTGCCCACCACTACTCACAGTCGTTCCTCAGACTTTTAATTAACCTAGATCTGATTTGTTTTCGTTCTTCATCGTGTTCAGAGCCTGATGGGACGAGTTTACGAGAATCCTTCAGTGCAATAGACTTGGAAGAAATCCATCAGTTTTTTGTAACCTCTCTCGAACGAGTAGGATACTGTAGTAAGCCCATTCAATTATTGTATTATTTATCTGCTCACTGTAATTTAGACAATTGATCCACCATGTAATTTTCTGTGTGAGTCTGATTGAGCATATGACAATTTTTAATCTATTCTCCCATTGGTTGTAATACACACACACACACTCTTGTTTTCCCTGTGTGCTTGCTTCCTGTACGCTTGCGGATTTTACCAATCTTTAACAATAAACTATCTTCTATAACTGGTGTTCAGGTTTTTGAATAATCATCTCGAGTACATCCATAATTCTACTAGGAGATTTAGCCTGCATTAAATGTTCAGTTAAAGGGGATACTATTTGTTGGAGTCATATATGGAGGATACTAGACTCTACAATACCATGAATTTCTTTACATTAATTGCAAATATACCAAAAAAACTATCGCTAAGAAACATATCAAAGTGTTAACTATCAGTAATAAACAAAGTATCTGATAAATAATGAAACGAAGAAAAGCATTTTAAATAATGACTAGTAGTAGACTAATTTGATGATACACATCGTTTGAATGTGGACAAAACGAATATTGTGGATTACAGTGTTATTTACTTGTTTACAATTAAATCAACTTGTATCATATAATCAATAGAATTAAAGGATCCATATATTCAAGAAGGTCATGGTATACCAACAACAGTTAATCGCATATCAGTTTTTGAATATTAATAATCAATAATCAATAATAATAAACAATATATCAAAAAGATCTTACATATGGATGATATAGATTCAAAGAATCTTTAGCATTTTGTCCAGATTGTTTATAACCAAATAATAAATCAATCCAATATGATAAATTCATTGATACATAATCACTTTCTAATGCAGCACGACAAATTAATGTGAATAAACGTGGATCATTTTTACACCAACTGTAAATGAGAGAAAAACGATATACATTAAGAGAAAAGATAAATAGTCAATCAACAATACAGAACCTAACTTGTATATGTAACGGATTAAGTTTGTTACGTAAGATGAGGATAATATGATGAAATTATTAAGATAAATATCCAAAATACAAGAAATAACATGAGTATTAGTAGCAGTGGTAATAAAAGAAGAGTTGATTATAAATCATATCACTTGGGGAGAGAGAATCAACAGAAGGAAAGGTTCGAACCCAGGACCTACTGCTTTCGAGCGTGAGCATTTAACCACTAGACCAGAGTCAGTCGGCATCCAATGGTGTTAATGTATAGCTTCAACTAATCTACGAAATTCAGCGACACATGTACCATTGTCTTCAGTGAGTTATTAGCTCGCAACAGACCTGGTTGAACTCCACTGGTCACCACTTCTCACTAGAACTCCAGGATATACCTCGAGAAGCCAATCATTAGTGAGCATATGTTGATTAATATCAGATGGGTTTTATGGATATTATAGTAATTTCAATGGTTAAGATCATGAAACAGTTGAAGCTAGACCATCATGAAAAACCTGGAAGCATTGGACGGCCGTTTCGTCCTATTGTGGGACTCCTCAGCAGTGCGCATCCACGACCTCGCCCCCTGCGAGATTTGAACAATTTCGTGGATTAGTTGAAGTTAGACATTAACACCGTTGGATGACGGCCTGCTCAGTGATCTAGTGGTTAAGTGCTCGCGCGCGAAACCAGTAGGTCCTGGGTTCGAATCTCGCAAGGGGCGAGGTCGTGGATGAGCACTGCTGAGGAGAAGAAAAGTTATAAAATAATTTTGAAACCCAGGATCTAAGAGAAGATAAACAGTGAATGCGTCACCTAATAACATCTAACATTTTCTTTTATATATATATTACTACCATTGAATTAACTACTTCTATGAATCCGGTGTTCATCTTGTTGTGTTAATGAGATATGGCATCTTGGAGCGATGCACATAGGTGCCTGGTTCTACGTTGTAGCTGACTGATTGACACCTAAACATTTAATCAAGACAATCTAAATCAGGTGGTCTTAATCTATCAAAATATCTCACAGTAGAAAAAAACGTATAAACCAGTGATACATCTTAGTTTGGGTGCTTCTAGCTTTATTCAAACATGTGTTTACACTAGCTTACATTAGTTGTTGAAGTAGTCAGTGGTTAGACATACATAACACATATCACGGCCACCTCAGTTGATGAAAATTCACAGTTTCATCAACTGATTTGCATTATATATCAATTACCCGGTGTCTAACCTCAACATCAATCACTTGGTTGCTCCAACATACACACGAAGATATAACTAATCAAAAACCTACAGCTTACGGATCTCTGCTACTCTTAAAGGTCGTGTTTTATAACCATATTTCATAGATAAAAGAGAAATCAACAATCGTATACAGGGATATGAACTGTAATTTATTTATTTATTTATTTATTTCAACACATAGATAATGGTACAAAGAGGCACCAAATACATATGAGCCACACAAATCTCATACGATATGTGTGAGGGCTGTGATACTGACCGGGTGCCCAAACCGAAGCAGGTGGTTTTCTTAGGGGGCCACATCCTGAGCCTTTGACCTAAAGGTCTGATCCACAAGGCAGTGGAGCATCGTAAGGAGATGCAGTCCCATGGTAGCCGGTGACCAACAATTGGTTCATACGCCATTTGTTCCCGCAGGATACTGGAGCCCATGTGCACCATTAGTTTGGAATCCGGTTAAAGTGCCGGACATTCGCTTTTCTTCCTCTCATTTTCGTAAACAACACCCCCGCCACGCGAAGGCAGTGAGTAGGACTTCCCTGGCAGAGGCTATATACGCGTGGTCGTGTGAGAGCATTTGGAGAGGGAGAGCGGACTCTCCCCACTCTCGGCTGTACCAGGGCATTTGGGGTATATGCGGTTTCTACCAATACCAGGTACCTGGTCAAACATTGAAAGAGGTACATCGGTGTTTCAACATATAACCCTATAAGTGTCTAAATCAATCAGTCCAAGTTCAAAGTTATTTAAAGTGACAACTGACGAAGTTACTTCCCTAGATACATGTTAATTACAAAGAAAAATCATATAAATAATAAGATCACATTAGCTGGAAAATAACTAACAACCAAGAAGAACTATACAGCTATTGCCTTTTAGTTAGAAGCTTTTCAGAATTAAGCCAATACAACCTTGATCAGGTATCGAATCTAAGAGTCTCTGGTGCAATAACTCTGTTTCACACATTCTATATTGTTGAATTCCATTTCTAAATAACCTTATACATGTTTATTCAAATATATATACATAGAGGTATTACTGATAATCATTGTTACTTCAATTCTTTCTTTTACAAATATCTATAACATCATATGATATTATATCTTCTCAATGTTACACTTGACTATGAAGCCATGAAATAGAATGAATTTATACTATTCCATCTAAATCGTTATTACAGCTTTATTGAAAATTCATAAAGGATACTTTAGTAAACTTTTCACTGATTCCGTAATAACATCTCAAATTTAGACATTGAATGAGTCTTAGTTGAATTTCTATAAGATCTATTAGTTTCAATAAGAGTTGAATATCAACGGTATTGAAACAATGTTCACCTTTCTTAGTATAGACAATCAAATATAACACTTAGATAATAAATGTTTAAGTATATTTACTATAAAAGTAATAAGACGAAAAATAAAATAGTTCAATACAAGTGATGTGGAGCTAATCAGTGTCAGGTAGAGACTGGTATCTACCTCAGTACAATGGAAGATGATTGCTCAATTCCGTGGATTAATTGAAATTAGACATTAACACTGTCGGATGTCAGCTCATTGGTCGCACATAAGACTGAAGGCAGTTGGTTCGAACTCCACAAGGGAGATCGTGAATGCACACTGTTGAAGAGTCTCACAATAGGACGAAATGGCCATTCAGTGCTTCCAGTTTTTAAATGGTGGTCTAACATCAGCCTGTTCATGATCTCAATCATAAACTGATATGATTAGTGAGAAAAGGGGAGAAAAAAAAAGAAAAAAAAGAAAGAAGTCATAACTTACGGTGGTAATTCAACATTATCTACACTATCACCTGGTTGTCGGCAGCCTAATTTCAATCCACTTCGATTAATAAACATTTCTGGTTGAAAATAAAATTCTGGTACTAATTCTTTAACACATGAAACAGAAGTAGTAGCTAAACGCCATGTTGTTGCAATTGAATGAAATAAACGATCGGGTACATCGAAATTATTATCTAGAGAATGAAAATACACATAGATAATCAATAGTATTATTCTGTTTACATATTCATGATTAGAAAAACAAAGCATCAACAGTAAGAATAAATAATCCATAGTCCGTTCCGAAATTATGTTCCATACTAGTTAGTAAGTTATTAGTCAGTTAGTCAGCAACAACGTAGAACTTCATACGTACGTATATCAGTTCGAGTTGCCATACCACATTATCACACAGATATAATGGTCGATTCAAATCCTATAGTGATAGAGATAGTAAGAGTATAAGCAGTAATCGGAAGCATTAGGTTTTGAAGATGTTATTCAAGGAGTATAATCAAGTGAAATAAATTTGGAAAGAGAAAAGATAAAGGGACATGAAGAATTCAGAAGATTAGAATTTGGGAGAACACAAACAGTGGATTCACCTGACATTCAAGGTCTCTAACCATCGGTTTCTATCAGATAATCTACACCTACCAACATGACTCAGTCCACTTGTCAGTGACTTCATGGATTTGTGCCATGTTTCGGTCTGGTATTAAGTTATTAACAAGTCGTAGTGAAATGGTAGTGCACAAAATATAAAGTCATTTATTTTAATGAGTATGTTAAGACTAGATCGATAAAATTGGAACAACACTAAGAACCAGAAAAATATGATATTGGTTACAATGCAGTCAACCAATTAGTAAACATACAAATCGAAAGATATCAGTTAACTTTTTGGCGAGACTATAATTTATGGACGACCCAATCAGACTTAGGACAATAGGTCTTGGAATTTTAGATGATCTTAATTCTTCATGAAAAACCATAAATCTAACTCTTAACCCTGACTGTCAACTATAAATAATAATCCTTATCCTTCAAACTGCTATACAACCGTCATTCAGCCTTAGTAAGTAGGTAGACACTTTCAAGGTCACTCTGGTGTCGCTCAAAGGTCATCCATAAATTATAGTCTCACAAACATTTTCTAGCTTATTGTAAGAGTAGAAAATGAATTAACGATATAGTGGATTCCAATTATGAATTCAGTTATTTGGCAGATTGCATTTTGTTATGTCCTTATGGTCCTGTCAATGGATCACATGACTAAGTCGCCAATCAGAATACCGACTTCTACGACCTTCACACTGTGCTAAACCGATGACACGTTAATCAGTACGAGCAGCTTAGAGTCAAATCTGAGTCCTTATTTGTTTTTCTCACCTAACCATGTTCGTTTAAGTTCAGAACACATTCTCAGCTTCCGCTGTATGAATCATGTATTTCAAACATACGTAATTTGTATACAAGCAAATCAGACCGCATCACACCATAAGATAAAAAATGGCAGGTAGATAAGATAAAGTCGAAAGTAGCTGTGAGTATGGCATACCGTAACTAATAACGGAAGCTTATAATCAAAGGAATATGGATATATGTACAGTATAGTCACTTAGTCAGTCAGTTACAACGTAGGATCAGGCATTTTCGGGTTAGCTCCGTACTTGTTGAGACCTTACCGCCGCAAACGGATATCTGCGGGATAAGGCGAGTTGTGCAATTTTAGGGTCGACCTTTTCTAATTCCACCCTTCTATGTGGGAAGGAACATCGCTGTTATGCTGGTTGTCTGAAGGAAACACCTTACTGTCGTCACACCTCTGTACCATCAGCAGTACGACTTCGCCCTCAGACCTTGGGTTTGCTGCTTCTAGTCTTACTGCTCTTCGACCGACCTGTCTTGCATGGTAAGACCTTGAGGAACAATTGTTCTAGCCAGCATAGCTCAATTGGTTCATTTCGATAGGCAAGCGCAACCGCCACGTCAAGGTACCAACAACTGTCGGGTAGTTACTCAATAATTATACAATAAGAATACATATATAATAACAGTCTATAAATAGATCCTAGCTGTTACGATTAACATTTTCTTCATCCGGATATAACACATTTGGTTACTGATATGTCGGTATCATTATCAGTCAGGTAAGTAATGTAACGCAGAGTGCCTTCTTAATTCATGAATTTTAAAAAAGAATAACCAACGAATATAGGTTATCTTAGAAAGTTATTTATATACATTTTCCAACTATCAGTAGTGCTGTTAAACCAGTCACTAAGAGACAATTAGCACAGGTTTGTGATTTTAATCTGAAGAAGTTACTTAAGTAATGGCATAGCAATAACTTATGCTATCTGGCTCATTAGTCATGATCGAATTCAATCGATCAAATAGCAATTTAGCCAATAATCTAATTGATTTAACGTCGTGTACGATTTTGAGATGCTAAGTAGATATAGACGTCATCCGTAAACTAATCAAGCCATAATTGATCTCCTGTAGAACTAAGATATTTTAATTGATTCATTACTGAGTACTAACTAATTTTATGTTAGTTTACTGTTAAGTACTGATTAGATTCTATCAATCAAGTTGGAATCATACTCTCTTATATTTCCAAAATCCAAAATTAAGATGTACTATATAACATAAAGTGATAGAAGGGAAAAATAGTAAAAAGTCCATTAGTTTTATGACAGTTAGAACTTGTCAGCAAGAAATAAATTCGATTTAGGAAGAATTGATGTTCATAATCACAGAATGAATGGAAATTTATATCAAACATTAATCCATTTTACTCTGTTAGTAATTCACTCTACGACTCTACTTCACTGATTTTGACCTATTGATTTGCCAAGAAATTAAAGACATATTGGTTGACGTTGGTGCACTGGATGAATTTAGACTTCCGCCCCCCCCCAATCGGATCTCGGCTTAGAGGCCAAATCTTTACGCGAGAGATTGAAGTCCATGAGTCCGAGTTCCCGATGCAAAGTTGTGGATGTGCATTGTTGAGGGAGGAAGACAGTTTTCTTAGGTTTTCAACACTTGTCTACTCTAGATCGGTTCGCGATCTCAGCTTTTAAGGACACTTAAAACACATGTGGCCATTGTGAGGGGATTACTGTTTCTTAATCATTGACAAATCTAAGCTACGTGTGAACATTCAAATAAAAGACAACGGTAAAAATCCAAACTGTTAAGGGAAATAAGATAAAAATGCCCTTGTATAGTTCACCTTGAAAACGTAAATGACGAAAAGTGTATGGGGGTAAACGAACAAGAAAATGTAACACAATTGCTTCATTTGAACAATGCGCTGGATAATGATATGGTGGACAAACACTACTTAAATTCGATAAAGTAGACGTTTTTGATTGTATTCCCGATGCTTCTGGATGTGATGTAGATGATGTTTTGGATAGTAATTCAGCTTCATTGAATCGTGCTGCTACAGCTTCAGCTCTATCGTCTTCTTGTACAGCTATTGGACGATCTAATCGTCGAAATGAAGTTGGTTGGGTTAAGTCTAACACAAGACTTTCATAATCCTTTAACAAAAAAAAAGAAGACCAGTACATAAGTCAACAGAATTCCTTAACCAGTTAACGAATATTTTAGTTGGTCAATAACTAAGGAGTATGATTTATATATACAAAATTAATAAAGTAAATAATATAGAGTTTTAAGCATACACTGAAGGGAAACAATATGCATCACAGTTTATTGAGGAAGAAGAATAAGAAAGCAAACTTAACAAATCATTAAATTAATGAGCATAGTAAACATCACGAACTGGCTTTAGTCAAACAACCAATGAAAGCTTAGAAGAACTGAAGAACTGTCGCGTTCCAGTAAGCGGCTCTACAGCAGTGGGGATTTACGATTTCAATAAGGTTTAAACTCATGATATTTAAGTCTCTTAGCAAGTGCCTAGAATTTAGACTATTTAGTCGTTATACAAAGGTTTGGATTTTTAAATCAAATCAATCTCCAACCATTTTTTAACGTCTCACATTCAACAAGGTTGATGTTTTCTATCCAGATCTTCCTGATTATCGATGCTTGCTCAACACTAAGATTAGATGCAATTCAACTCGTTAAACTAAAAAATTAATAAATTATTACTCATTAGTGAGTAACTTCATTTATTGGCTGAGAACTTATCGATAATACAGAATAATCAACATGTTGCAACGCAAGTCAATAAAAACAATTTTACATATTGAAATGAAGCCACTCCAAGGTTGACCAACTGAAAACTGTATCATGATACTCAACTACACATAACAATCATTTAGATCTGTACATTTCAACATTGTCCCTTAGATGTTAATAGGAGTTATTTGAAAATTTTATTTTGTAATTTCGGGAGTTCAATCGTAGTAACCAATCAGGTACATGCATTAATGATGAGCTGTTTGTTACTACCATTATCTACGTAAAATAAGCCTAAAAAATGTGTTTCGTCCATGTTATTAGAAGTAGAAGGAATAATAGGAATTGAAGAGGGAGGTTCATTATGAATACAGTGTTGTTGAGTATTGTTAGAGGTATGAAGATGGTTATCACTTCCCGGTTGCTCACATCGTGGAAGGGTTCTTCTGGAGGTACCTGAAAAGGAAATTGGAATAAAGGTGGTCTTAGTGACCTGAGAGAATGACTGAAGTACTGAAGGAACAACTGATTGAGGTCGGTCAAACACGACCTTTATGTGAGTAATTTTCGTGTTAGCTCCGTACTTGTTGAGACCTTACCGCCAGAGATGTATAGCGGTGAGATAAGGCGAGGTATGCATTTTTAGGGCCGACCTTTTCTAACCCCACCCCTCTTTGTGAAAAGGCAACATCTCTGTTATGCTGGTTGTTATCTACGATATCGAATTAAAACTATGCATTTATTAATGTATAAGACTTGAAATTTTTGATAAAACGTACGCTTTCAAAATAGTCCATACTTGTCCACTAAATGAACAAATAAGTGTAGAAAAGTTCAAGTACGATATACTTAGTGAATATGGCAACATTACAGATAACCACATCCCAAGCATATACAGTTAAATACAGAATTTAGGTGCTGTTCCATTCTCTGAGCTGAATAATTCGGTTGTGAAGCTTTCATTGTTCTTCTGGACGACATCATCAACACAAACTACATGAAGCTGTACGACCAAATCATCCAGATCAGAAAACGAAACTCTACCTTAATCATCCATTTGAGTTATAAATCTTGCCCACCATCTCAAAATACAGAATTTAAAGTAAAAGTAAACAGAGAGGAGAACATTTTAATAAAGTATTCAACAACAAAAATATAGGCATACACGTATAATCCATGGAAATATAGGATACTGCATTAAATCATTATAACTTCGACCAGCAGTTGTGTTTAACTTCATTAAATAGTCAAAATTTGATAATTCGCCATTTAACCATGCTTGTTGTACATTTTGTAATTTACATTTTTTTAATTGTTTAAAAGTACAATGATGATGATGATGATGATGATGATGATGATGATGATGATGATGATGATGATGAATCGATGGGAGAGGATTAGCTATGGCAAATTGTTCATCGGTATTCACTAATAATCGATTATGATAATGATGAATACAATAACATGAATGATGACCAATTAAAGGAGTGATAGTTTCGATAAAATTATCCCTGTCCTATGATTTAAACAAAATAAATATAAGAAAGAATTATTATTATTATTATTATATAACAAAATATGTAGTTTGTAAAACTAGGATAAAATATAGATTTTGATGGAGTTTTGTTCTTTGAGCTGGATGGTTTGATCGTAGAGCTTTCACCATTCTTCTAAACGACATCATCAGCATAAACGTCAGGTAGAATTCAAATGTTCTAATTTCTTCACAGACGACTAACAGCTTATCCTGTCGACCTCGATGTTGATTGGTTATTGTTGACATTTAACCTGTGATTGTTTAATTCTTTATTTTGATTATATCTCCCGTTGATTTGATTCTTGGTTCTAGATTTATCCATGATTTCTTGGAATTGATTGATTAATTGAATTGACTTCGATGTGTTTGTTGATTGTTGACTGACCTGAGTCCCAAGTACCTGAAAAATACTTTGGTGTTTTTGGTATCCCCTCTGTTCAAGATTTCAATATTTTCCCAGTCGAATATGTGTCCACAGTTGTCCACATGGATTAATATGAGGGAGGATATGCCATGGAGTTTGACCGCTAATTGATATTCGCGATGGTGAAGATGAAGAGGGCGTCCACTTTGCCCGATGTGGCATTTTTCGCAGTTGTAAGAATTTATTTTGTAGATGATGTTCAGTTTTTCTTCATTTGTCATTTCGTTCTTTGGTTTGTATAGGATGAATCCAGCTCAAAAAAATATAACTCCACTAAAATCACCCACCTGAGCTACAAACCTTCTCCACCATTACAAAATATAGAAATTAGAGTGAGTAATATTCATCTTGGCAAATTAACTCAATAAGTATTGGGACTAATTGTACTGATAACTATACTACTGATTAAAGAAAGTAGTATAGTAATTCAGATGATATATATATATATATATATAAACAGAGCATTGTTCGAACGTTCCATGTACCTATAAAATTTTTTGCTCTGGTTGTTAAAAGGGACATCGGCCTCGTGGCTTCCGAAGGAGCTCGGCTTTCACCATGAAGCGTCATAATTCTTCTAAATGAAGACCTTCTAACTCCCAGGGCAGAGTTAAAATGGTTTGGATTATTTTTTCTGGTAAGCGTTTTTTTAGCGAGTTAGTTTTCTACGGGATAATAGAAGCAGATATGAAAACGATGAATTACAACTGGACGGAGCTAGAAAGGATTGCTCAGGACAGGGTTGGATGGAGAATACTGGTGAGCGGCCTATGCTCCTTCACGAGGAGTAACAGGCGTAAGTAAGTAAGTATATTAAACAGATCATAGAACAAGTTAGTATAATATCTGAGGAGCAAGGTCAACAGTAAGTAATATCCTAGATTACACTGTAAAGTTCATGATTTCTTGTTGATATTAATTGATAGGATGAGTGAAAAGTTGAGAAAAGTGATATCATCCATTTGGATGGTACATATAATATTTAGGTTGTACATATAATGAATAGGTACAAAACTAAAGCAATATGTGCATTCGCATCGATGACACATTCATTATCGTCGATCAGTGTATTGGAAAAAGAGAACTATAGGAGAAGTTTATTAGTACAAATTCGGAAAAATGAAATCATTTGTGAAGAGGAGGAGCTTTAAAAACGACAAATTACAGTTCGTCGACAGTTTCATCAGGCAGATAAGATAATCTATTCAGTAGAAATGTGTCTATAGAACGTTTATCTGCACGCATATAAACACTATCCTTAGTTTCATGGCCATTTATTGCAAAATAAACTTAATCAAATGTTTAACAGGCAAATTAGAAAAGATATGGTCAGATAACAGGACAAACACACGAGGAAAAAACACACGTTTTTTGCTAAAAGAGTTCCAAAACATCCATCATTAGAGTCTATATAAGCTCAAAAACGTTAGAAAACATTTTATCCAATACTCGTTGAATAGAAGTCTTGCGGAGAAAAGTCTAGACAATACAGAACCATATCTTACAGTTTGACTGAGTATTTACCTATACTGTTAATATATTTATTATAGTATTGGAAATTTCTATGAGCCAAAGTCCATGTGTAACTCTATAGATACCATTGCTTTTTTCCCATACACAAAATGATCTTGGAGTAAACAGTTTACTCTCGGTTCACGCCTTCTCTTTTCTATTCAAGTTGGCGTTATCAGAACCGGCTAGGAATACTGTTTAGATGTATCGATAGTAAAGTTTATCGCTTGTCTAAAAACATTCACGATTTTGACTAATATAGAAATTAGTCAAGATTACGTTTTTAAAGGAACTCGGCTTTCCTCATCATCATCACTGATGAACAGAGAGGATCAGATGCGAACGTAAAGGCGAGGATTGGCAAATCAAGGACAGCATTCCTATAATTGAAGAACATATGGAAATCAAAACAACTTTCAACCGATATCAAAATTACAATCTTCAATACGAACGTCAAGACAGTTCTATTATACAGATCTAAAACTTCGAGAACTATCACAATCATCATCGAAGGAGTACAAGTATTTACAAATAATTGTCTACACAAGATACTCAATATCTATTGTTGACGGGATACCATCAGCAACAGCCTACTGTGAGAGAGAACAAACCAGCTTCCAGCTGAGGAGGGAGTTAGGAAAAGACGGTGGAAATAAATAGGACATATATTACGCAAATCATCAAACTGCATCACGAAGCAAGTCCTGATTTAGAATCCTGAAGGGAATCAGAAAATTGGAAAGCCAGAGAAAACATTACGTCAGGAAATAGAAGCAGATATGAAAAAGATGAATAACAACTGGAAAGCGTTGGAAAGGATTGCCCAGGACAGGGTTGGATAGAGAATGCTGGTGAGCGGCCTATGGTCCTTCACGAGGAGTAACAGGCGTAAGTTATCTACGATTTTAAAGCAGAACCTGACAACCCAGAACAAAAGACACTAGTTGATATATTCATAAATATATCTATTTGACACAAATACTAATGTCGTCGAGTGAAGTAATAATAATAATGTTGATAATAATAGAAACTATGTGATTCACATATCTAGTAGAGTCTTATGTACTTATTGTTTAGAAACTCTTATGAATGATGATAAGTAGAAGTCCAAACCCGAAAAAAGAAGTGTGAAGTTCGCATAGACAACTTGTTCAGATGAAAGCTGATTTATTTAATTTAATTAGCTTACTTTAGAAGAATACATAGCAAAAAGCATTGGTGCATTCACATCTGTTTCATCGGGAAATATTTCTACTGCAATATCACGTAATGAATATCGACGTGCTTCAATATGATGAATTGATTTAAAAGACCATGCAAACCATAATCGATTAGAAGGACTTTGATAAGGATATAATGATTCCTAAATAGGAAAACAAAATGTGATTTGATTGGTAGATTTGTATAAATACAATAATACATAATCTTTTGGCTCGGAAGAAAAATGCCACAAAAACAGGAAAATAAGATATGTACATAAATATTGTCTTATAAGTATGCTGGGATACTACAACAAAACTTCCTGTAAACTGAACTCTGAACTATGTCTTATAACAATCTCATAGTCATGGAGTTGTATAGCCTTTAAAACTTCAACCAACGAGTCATGATAATCCAACAGATGTCAGGATTACGGATCTATCTTTTATGCTAGACTCTATATTTCGAAAATGAGAAGCTTTCTGATTTTTTTCTTTCAATACCAGCCTCAGCTAATCATATACTTTACGGAATCCATCAGTATACAAATAGATGTAGAAAGGTGTGAATATATATTTATAACCGTCGTTGTGATAGATCCATTTTTATAGTAATAAAATCAGTCCATAGAACGTAATGATAAAAAGATCTAAACAAAAAACCTCAAACGGATAGATTTAAGAGGATGTTGGACATTGTAAAATCATATCTGTATCCCTCATCTAAGGTGATATATGGTGTTTGCTATTTATATCAACAGACATAAGTAGGATGTAACACTAATGGAACTCCTAACAGCAGAAGGTTAAGAAGATCAAATCGAAGAGAATGGGAACAGATAATAATTGTAATAGCAGTGAAGGAACAATGGAAATTGAGACAAATGATGTAATTCATGCCATCAATGTATGAAAGTAAATGATAGGGGGAATTGAAGGATTTCAAAAAGTCATGATCAAGTGAGTGAAAGTAGTGTGACTAAATGAGTGAAAAGCAATCTCTAATTTACTCGTCTATGTTAATAGTAGCTTTAATATGACTAAAAAAATTAAGTTGCAGGTATGTACATTATGCTGATAAGTGCCAACTAGCACAAAACCTAAGTCAAACGGATCATTCTGGTGACAACTTCCAACCATTTAATATTTGACTAGAGCAGTAAAGAGAACGTTTAATGCTGCCAACCTCTGCCTATCGTATTCGACCCGATCGATGGTGATTCCCCAATTGAAGGATAAGTTACCTGTTTATACCACTTCTATGTGTATCTACGAATTCAGCTGCTCCTGTGGAGAAAGCTATATCGGGCGCACTACCAGGCAACTGAACCAACGAGTTAGTGAACACCTCCCTTCGTGGTTAGTAAAGGATTACGTCAAAACAATACGCAGCTCGGTTCTATCACACTTGATCGATAGCGGTCATATAGTGGACAGAAACAAGTCGTTCAAAGTTATTTATCGGATTCCCACTAGTTTTCCTTATGGTGTTCGATCTCGTCTCTTACACATAGCAGAAGCTATAGGAATCCGAGCCAACAAGCCAAGTCTTTGTGTCCAGAAGAAATTTGTAACTCCCTTATCTCTCCCTTGGCCTTAAGTAATAAATGAATGTATTTATTTATTTATTTATTTATTCTCTTCGTTTATTATTTTTCTTCACCCCTTCCTACCACTTTATTTTCTCTCAACTATACGTTTCATGGTCCAATTATCTGAACATTTCTTATTACGTCATCTTATAATCTTCATAATTGTTATCTCAGTTTCTATATTTTCTCCTAATCATTGACCTATTTCCGATTATGTAACATGGATTTGAACCTTTATTATTATTGCTTATCAAAAACTAATGCACCTGTTGTCACGCCATCAATTTGTACTTTACACATTTTACTTATTATGTAATCTTTTCCATGGTTATCATCATTGACTTATAAACTACCTTGATTGGTTTAATTCATTTCTTATATGCATATAAATATTACTGTATATTACAGTAAAGCCTGATGAGGATCTAATAGAAAACAATATTGTTCGCTTATGTGTATGTTGTTCTAAATTTATAATATGGGAATATTTCAACATATTGTATACTATGTTAAATTACAATTCAATTTAGTAGTTGATCAGCAAAAAGGATTGATAAACATGACATTCATTATAAGCAAAGATGGATAGTGGCTAGCAGTGGAATCCAGGACGCGCGTTTCGTCCTGTTTGGGACTCGTCAGCTGGATGTACCTGCATCTCAGAGTTGATGTTCACTCTGGGACTCGAACTCAGTACCGTTCGCTTCAAACGCCATCGCGTTATCCACTTAGCTACTGAGTCCTGATAGCCACTTGCTTGTGCAATGGGTTGAAGTTTAATTCACTTGATATTGTTTTATTTGAATCTACCCATTGATGTTTTTGGACTGAAATTGATCAGTCTCTTATTGGCATATGTGCATACTGTGCGTATGCCTCTATATTGCCTTAATTTACAAGCATTATAAGCAAAGATGGATAGTGGCTAGCAGTGGAATCCAGGACGCGCGTTTCGTCCTGTTTGGGACTCGTCAGCTGGATGTACCTGCATCTCAGAGTTGATGTTCACTCTGGGACTCGAACTCAGTACCGTTCGCTTCAAACGCCATCGCGTTATCCACTTAGCTACTGAGTCCTGATAGCCACTTGCTTGTGCAATGGGTTGAAGTTTAATTCACTTGATATTGTTTTATTTGAATCTACCCATTGATGTTTTTGGACTGAAATTGATCAGTCTCTTATTGGCATATGTGCATACTGTGCGTATGCCTCTATATTGCCTTAACGGTACTGAGTTCGAGTCCCAGAGTGAACATCAACTCTGAGATGCAGGTACATCCAGCTGACGAGTCCCAAACAGGACGAAACGCGCGTCCTGGATTCCACTGCTAGCCACTATCCATCTTTGCTTATAATGCTTGTAAATTAAGGCAATATAGAGGCATACGCACAGTATGCACATATGCCAATAAGAGACTGATCAATTTCAGTCCAAAAACATCAATGGGTAGATTCAAATAAAACAATATCAAGTGAATTAAACTTCAACCCATTGCACAAGCAAGTGGCTATCAGGACTCAGTAGCTAAGTGGATAACGCGATGGCGTTTGAAGCGAACGGTACTGAGTTCGAGTCCCAGAGTGAACATCAACTCTGAGATGCAGGTACATCCAGCTGACGAGTCCCAAACAGGACGAAACGCGCGTCCTGGATTCCACTGCTAGCCACTATCCATCTTTGCTTATAATGCTTGTAAATTAAGGCAATATAGAGGCATACGCACAGTATGCACATATGCCAATAAGAGACTGATCAATTTCAGTCCAAAAACATCAATGGGTAGATTCAAATAAAACAATATCAAGTGAATTAAACTTCAACCCATTGCACAAGCAAGTGGCTATCAGGACTCAGTAGCTAAGTGGATAACGCGATGGCGTTTGAAGCGAACGGTACTGAGTTCGAGTCCCAGAGTGAACATCAACTCTGAGATGCAGGTACATCCAGCTGACGAGTCCCAAACAGGACGAAACGCGCGTCCTGGATTCCACTGCTAGCCACTATCCATCTTTGCTTATAATGCTTGTAAATTAAGGCAATATAGAGGCATACGCACAGTATGCACATATGCCAATAAGAGACTGATCAATTTCAGTCCAAAAACATCAATGGGTAGATTCAAATAAAACAATATCAAGTGAATTAAACTTCAACCCATTGCACAAGCAAGTGGCTATCAGGACTCAGTAGCTAAGTGGATAACGCGATGGCGTTTGAAGCGAACGGTACTGAGTTCGAGTCCCAGAGTGAACATCAACTCTGAGATGCAGGTACATCCAGCTGACGAGTCCCAAACAGGACGAAACGCGCGTCCTGGATTCCACTGCTAGCCACTATCCATCTTTGCTTATAATGCTTGTAAATTAAGGCAATATAGAGGCATACGCACAGTATGCACATATGCCAATAAGAGACTGATCAATTTCAGTCCAAAAACATCAATGGGTAGATTCAAATAAAACAATATCAAGTGAATTAAACTTCAACCCATTGCACAAGCAAGTGGCTATCAGGACTCAGTAGCTAAGTGGATAACGCGATGGCGTTTGAAGCGAACGGTACTGAGTTCGAGTCCCAGAGTGAACATCAACTCTGAGATGCAGGTACATCCAGCTGACGAGTCCCAAACAGGACGAAACGCGCGTCCTGGATTCCACTGCTAGCCACTATCCATCTTTGCTTATAATGCTTGTAAATTAAGGCAATATAGAGGCATACGCACAGTATGCACATATGCCAATAAGAGACTGATCAATTTCAGTCCAAAAACATCAATGGGTAGATTCAAATAAAACAATATCAAGTGAATTAAACTTCAACCCATTGCACAAGCAAGTGGCTATCAGGACTCAGTAGCTAAGTGGATAACGCGATGGCGTTTGAAGCGAACGGTACTGAGTTCGAGTCCCAGAGTGAACATCAACTCTGAGATGCAGGTACATCCAGCTGACGAGTCCCAAACAGGACGAAACGCGCGTCCTGGATTCCACTGCTAGCCACTATCCATCTTTGCTTATAATGCTTGTAAATTAAGGCAATATAGAGGCATACGCACAGTATGCACATATGCCAATAAGAGACTGATCAATTTCAGTCCAAAAACATCAATGGGTAGATTCAAATAAAACAATATCAAGTGAATTAAACTTCAACCCATTGCACAAGCAAGTGGCTATCAGGACTCAGTAGCTAAGTGGATAACGCGATGGCGTTTGAAGCGAACGGTACTGAGTTCGAGTCCCAGAGTGAACATCAACTCTGAGATGCAGGTACATCCAGCTGACGAGTCCCAAACAGGACGAAACGCGCGTCCTGGATTCCACTGCTAGCCACTATCCATCTTTGCTTATAATGCTTGTAAATTAAGGCAATATAGAGGCATACGCACAGTATGCACATATGCCAATAAGAGACTGATCAATTTCAGTCCAAAAACATCAATGGGTAGATTCAAATAAAACAATATCAAGTGAATTAAACTTCAACCCATTGCACAAGCAAGTGGCTATCAGGACTCAGTAGCTAAGTGGATAACGCGATGGCGTTTGAAGCGAACGGTACTGAGTTCGAG